ACTAGGCGGTACTAAGTGCAAGAAGCTACTAGGGACTCCTGGCCTTACTAGGAGCAAGGACGCTACTAGGGACCCCTGGCCTTACTACTAGGCGGTACTAAGTGCAAGAAGCTACTAGGGACTCCTGGCCTTACTAGGAGCAAGGACGCTACTAGGGGCGCCTGGCCTTACTACTAGGTGCAAGGACGCTACTAGTCTCTCGGGGTGCAAATCCTGCGCCGAAGCCCCGCCGCACCGCGCAGGGTCTTGCGGCGGCGATCGCCAGTGACCTTCCGAATGTCGCACTTTCTCGCTTGGCCTTTCTGCCGGCTGTCCACGAAGCTTGGAGGGTTCACAGTGTGAGGCCAAATTGCAGTAATGCGCATGTAATGCCCTTGTTACCAGTAGCGATTGTCCTTGTTACTAGTAGCTTCTAGCTACTAGTAGTAAGGCATCTTGTTACTTTTAGCTTCTTGTTACTACTAGTAAGGCGCTTGATTGCTTTTTGCATCTTTGGCATCATTGGACTGAGGTTGTAATTGCAAGCTGCAAGCTGTCCACTGTTGATTTTTTTTGGGGGGGGCCCTGGTGAGGCGTTGAAGTGGTATTGATTCAAAAGTTCAGTTTGCTATTGTTTGATTTTCTTCAGATGTTATTGTGACATATTGTGACCCTTTAATTTCAGGCTGGCGGAGTTCTGGTTACCCAGCTGTTCAGAAAATTGAACAACTGGTGATAGTGAATGAAATGGATACATGCCATTGGCCATGTCTATCCTCCGGAATAATCATCAGTTGTGACCACTGCATTCCCCAGCTGCCAGAGTCAAACTCAAGCTGCCCCAGGAATATGCGGTATCTCATTTACAACGTCACCATCTCTATGATGTGGCTCCACTGCAAAGGTTCAGTTCTGCCGAAGTGATGTTTCTTTTAAAAGAATGACCTTGGTTTGGCACCGTTTCTGAATTGACTGGAGATGGCCCACCATGGCCCACCCAGTACCTCCTACGTAGTGTAATGTTACCTTTGGAGGCCTTGCCTTGTATTTTTTCCAAATATTTGCAATGAATTTGCCACATCCCACAGGACTGTCACTCATGGCAAGTCAGCTGAGACCAATTTCCGCTACAACTTCGGCCCCCGCCTTGGACGAGGCTCCTTTGGTGAGGCTGGGGAAGTCACTCGCGCTTCGTCCGGATGGTCTTTTTCAGATGGTGTTCAACTTGTCCATGAATTTGATGGTTTGAACAGCGTAGGTATAGCTACTAACAAGAAGAAGCTAGCTACTTAATATGGACGCAGCATGGCCCTCGCACTATTCATTTGGTTCCTAGATGTTTGGGGAAATTTGAGTTAAAAGAGCTTCTGGCCAAAAGCCACTTCTGTAGGCTGGATGTTCATTCATCCCTTTGAAATTTTGTTGGCTATTGTGCTGTTGGGTGTTTCATAGATCAGCTAAGCACCAGGTCCTCACAGGCACCTGGCCACAGGCCTGGCGGGCCGTCACACTGGACGGCTCCATGAAGGAAGTGGTCCTTAAGCGGCTCTTCGTTGAGAAGGGTGAGCACGTGCGCAGGAGAGTGCAGATTGAGGATGGTTCAGGCGTTTTTCGCACTTCTTCCGCTTTCGCACTTACAAATCGCTTCTTTCGTCGTCCTAGTAGCAAGGACGCTACTAGGAACAAGTGCATCGCTTCTAGTAACAAGGACGCTACTAGGAACAATGTTCGCTGTCCACGTGAGTTTCTAGTTTCTCCAAAGAGTGCCCGTGTGGGATGCGGGCCAAAGATCGTGGAGCTTTGGGGTCAATATTCTAGTTGCTTGTTGTGTCTTTACTTCGCTAGGAACTGAACTTGAGAACATTGGGTATCTTCAGAAAGTCTACTGTACTTTTTAAGTGGGATGTTTGTCCTTTACTGTCTCATGATTTTTCCCACCTGGCTTGGAGATTCCCTCCAGGAGTGGCGAGAGGGAGATCCATTTCGGTTCGATCTTGCAGCACCGGCACCACATCGCGAGGTGGCTGGCTGGGGGCGAAGCGGCGAAGCGGCGAAACCTTTCTCGATCACGGAACAAAGGGCTAGTCGGTATTTCGGAGTCTTTGTCGTCCATTTAACTTGTGTTTCATGAGTCCTTTCTTAAGAGTTCCTCATATGATTTACTCATCTACAATTGTCCATGTTGTGGTTCAATGGGCTCAAGACATAGTGCTCCCAGGTTTTTGGAGTCGTTTGAAGAGATTGGCATGGTTGAGGAGGGGAAGAAACAGGTAGCTCCTTGGCAGAGACTGGATATGTGTGTGCGCGTGGGTGGCTTTTTTTTAGACAGTTCGAAGTGACACGGGGATGATGCCACACAATATTGAATAATATTGAATTTCAATATCAAAATGGGCATAGCCTTTAAGGTTAAAAAACGTTAAGCCTACAGGTACCGAAGAGGAATAAAAAGAACACGTGATCATGTTGGATACGCTGCTATTGAGGCATCCTTGCACACAGCGAGGAATGTGTGTTCCCCAATCGCTCAAAAAAGTGTTTTGAAACGGCGCAACATGTCAATTGTAGTTAAAGGTTATAGTATATCTATTAAAAAAATATATATTTAGTCAGTAGAAGCTCAGCGCAACCGCTGCATCAGACAAACCACTCGTTTGCCTTGCAACTTGAGGAACTGTGGCTTGTTTTTGAGAACGAAGGCTTCTCTTTGACCCACTTCCTTTTCAAGACGCAGCCGGGCTCACAGGTCCCTGTGCTAATGGTTCATGCGTGTTTGCCAGTGACTAGGTCAAGAAACCACCTGTTGTAGGCATCGCGTTGGTTTTGGAAAGCTGTGTTCTTAGCCCAGAAGCCCTAAGGACTTCAATGAATGCATTGATCTAGTGTTTTGTTTTTTTTCCTGAGCAGATCCTTCAGCGGTTGAATTTGCAAGGTGAATGACATAGGCTTGAAACGTAAAGAACAAAACGTCACAAGCATGAATCCAAGTGAATCCATTTTCCTTTCTTTGCGAGCGACAAGGTGGTGGAGCGATCCACATTCTGGTGGCTAGTCAAGCAGGGCTTGCCCTGGGGAGGACAAGTCATCAAGAATTTTGCTTACCAGCTTCTGCAAGGTGCGGATATAACGAATCATGAATCACTCAATGTTGCACGCACTCTGGAAAAAACAGTTGGGTCAACAGGGGGGGCTTTGGAGCAGGTTTGACTCTTGGCTTGTTTGCAAAGGGCCTGGGTTCTAGACTGATAAGTCGCAAGGGTACGTTGGGTGCCTTGCAACATGTCACCTCATTTGGTTGCTTGCACTCCCGAATCTGTCGCATGTGCACTCTTGCAGTCACTGTTACAGGTCTGGCTGTGGCTCATGCTGCCAACATCACGCACCGTGATGTCAAGGGTGCCGAACGGTCTGGAGACAGCGGGGCATTTAAGGTTTGAGGGACTTGCTACCGAGAATTCATATTTATTCATGCTAGCTTGTTTGTTGCCTCAGAAGACAGCTTCTCCAGTGACAAGGTTCAATCATGTTCAATGTTCGATGCTCTGCTTATGTTCTACGTGCCTTCGACAATTCCAGAAACAAGTTGGTGGTAAACAAGCAAACACCACCATCGCTAGTAGGTTGGAGGGCATCCCTACTAGAAACAAAGACAAAAAGCACGGAAGAAAGGTGTAATAGTCCAAACCGTTGAAAGGACTTTACCCTCCCCCGCAGACGGCCACATCGACCGCCCCCAACCACCGTCTTGCACAAGCTATGTTGACATCAGGAAGCTCTTTTGCAGGGTCCATGTCAGTTGACCACCAAGTCCTGTTATTCTCTCTTGAAGTTCATGGCATGTCCAGCTATAAACCCTTCAAACAATTGCCACCACCCGACCGCTCCAAAGCGACGTGAAGGATTGTGAAGCTGTGACCACCGTGGTCCACGCACGCCCAACCCGAAGGCTCCAACATCTTCGTCACCGACACGTGGCCTCCCGTGCTTCGCCTGGGGGACTTCGGCAGCGCCTTGACCACCCCGCCGGGCGAGGACCAATATCCTGCATAGAGCCGGAGAGGGATTTAGCAAGTTGGAGGTCATGCTGGTGGAGTCCCAAGTTAGGTTGGTAGGGGTTTAGCATGGTTTAGCAATGTACGCCACAGCTTTCATTCTTTCCTGCCATCAGTCGTTAGTGGAAAATCCATCAACTTTTCAGAAATTTCTGCTGTGGCTTTCGGGTAAGAACGTATGAAGCTTTGGCAGGTTGGGTTGGTTCTCAAAGTGCTGCAGTATTTAGTGGCAAGTCTCGACCTTTGGGGTCATGATGCGTCACTTGGAACCAGAGTCCATGCAGCAACCTGTGTTTGGTGGAATTTGCGATGTGTTTGGTTGACAAATAAGCCGAAAAATCGGATCCGTTCGATTCCCAGCCAGCACACTGGCGGATCAGTTTTATTTCCTGGAAGGAGGTGAGAAAGCTTTATGGCCTTGCTCCTTTTCTGCATTGGTTTTGTCACCGACTTAATACTGCTAAACCTGCTGCAAACTTTAATATCTTTAATGACTGCCTGAGGAGGGACCCAGTGATGATGATGAAACCAGCGAGTACAAACCACCAGAAGCAGGCCAGAGAACTGTCTTTATTTATCAATGTTTGACTCCATTGCATTTATATACATTGTGCACATTAGCAGGGTTTCCAGATGGCGTGACTTTACGGAAATGTGGCTTGACACCAGATGTGTTGGGGCCTGCAATTTCGTTCTTCATCCAACTTGAGTAATTAGACCATGTTTTGCGTCTATCAGAAGTTTATTTGGATGGAATATGCAAGCTCCCAGCATATCAAGAGAGTGGACTCTTTGTACTTGATCAGTCTTGATCAATGTTTGCGACTTGTATTGATTCATTCCTCAACCAACTAGGACTCTTCGACGACTTGCTGCTCCAGCGAGTGGGGCTCAGGGGCGATGGGCCTTGGCGCAATCGGAGCTATGACATGTGGAGCTTGGGGGTGCTGCTCCTTGAGCTTATACTTGGTACACGGGACCGACGGCCGCCGGATGGGTTGGATATGGATAGATGTGGCACAGTTGATGGGTGTGAAATGATGCGACCGTTTTACTGTGTCCAGGAGCTTCTTCGTGCCCCACAGTCAGTCTGGACGAACTTCTGTCCACCTTTTGGAGATCCAAAACATTCTAAAACCGATGAAGTCGTGAACCAATCACATTGATCAGTGGATGAGTCAATGAGAATGAGATTTGATCCTTCCGAACCGGCCACTTTGCAGGATTTGTACCATGTGGATGATCGCCGCTGGCTGAAGGAGGAGTTCCAGTGCCTCGGCTCCTGTCACCGGTTCGCGAGTGTTGCCCCCCGTCCTTCAAGTGAGCACGTTTGATTCTTGGTGTCAATCAATCTCCAGACCTGATCATTCTGATGGTCTTTTTCCTTTGGATAAACCCATCTAAATTGTGTCCTTCTTTTATGCTACCCAGGAGTGGCTGGGTGAGCACAAACACATTGCTCAATTGTCAAGTTTCGCTTTTTGAACAGCGTTTCCATGCGTTTGCATTTCCACAAGGCTCCACAAGAATGTCCCCGAAGAGCGTCGAGCACAAGGCACTGCCGGGTGGGGTGCACTCCTTGAACTCCTGGAGTTGCTAGCTGCTAGCTGTTATGTTGGATGGTTTTGTCTAGAAGTCCTCCGTCACGTGCGCACCACCCCTTGTTGTCAACTCTGGTTGATAATCTGATAAGGTCCCCACTGACTTGGCAGCTCAAGCTGGGCCAACCCACTGCGGAAATTGTTTTCGCTTCTCCCTGAGACTTGGAAAAGACACCCTTTGTATCCCTTTGTTCCCTTTTGCTAAGGCAACAAGAAGCTACTAGGAACAAAGGTCATCACTACTAGGAGCAAGTGTGCTACTAGTAGCTCCTGGCCTTACTACTAGGAACACGAAGCTTCAATGTTATACGGTTTTCATTACGAGCATCAGGATGTTGGACTCTCGGGAACATTGGACTAGCTTCAGAAGTACTCCAAGAGGTATACAGGTCTTTTCCGACGTGAACAGACTTTCTGCGCATTCCGAGAGCTTTCACAGTGTCAGTTTGTCATTAAGCCTGATCATTACTGAGCCCCAGAATTATTGAACCTACGGCGTTGCACTTTTATAAGGGCGGTGTGACCACGTCCAGTTGGGAAAGAAACTTTTTGTCCAATAAGTGAATGTGTTAAGATATGCCGCATATGGCATATGATGGTTTTGTTTGGTTCCGTCCCACAATGTCAGGCCGCATGCTCCTTGCCTTGCTGGACTTGTGTTTGGGTCCTCGTGGAGTTTGGACCGAAGCACCTTTGCGCTGGTTTTTTGAACCTGAGCTGTCTGGGCCTTTAGTGCCTCGGCGTTCGTTTGAAGATGGATTTGCATATGTGAAGCACACCAGAGCTGGTGTGTTCCCAAAAAAGTTGGGGTACTATATTGTATGCCTTCTGCTTGAAGACGTTACCTTTTTTCCTTTAAACAACAACAACAAATGCGACTGATCTAGCCGTCAAGCTACAATCTACTGTAAATACTTACCTACCTTTTGATTTTGGGTGGAGACAACTCACATCAGTCAGGAGTGCTCCTTTACCCTTCTTCCATTTACCTTTGGGCATTGCAAAGCGAGTGCTTTGCACAACTTAGGCAGGTGAGCCACGACAATGCTCGGATGCCGAGTTCGCGGAAAGGCTTCAAGTACAGGCGCTTGTTGCACAGTTTCTACATAATGTCTTTGTTTACCCTTTGCCGCTGCTGCAAATTGCTTTGGCGCGTTGGTTCGTGATTGTCGCTTATGTTTTGAGATGTTGGATCTCTTCGCCCGGTGTCAAGGAGGAGGGACTAGATTTTCAGGGACTTTAGCCGCACTCTAGCCATCCCTTCTTGACTGTTTGCTTCAGGATTCCATTTCCTGCTGGCGCTGTGCCCATGCTTTGGGTTGTTTCCATGTGATTTGAGGTACAAACGGGTCAAAGATTCTGGTTGCTTTGACTGTTCCACGCGCCGCCAGGATGCCGCTGGCGTTGGCTTGCCGAATGCCGCCGGCCGCGACTTGCTTCGAAGGCTTCTAAGTTGGGATCCCAATGAACGGATCCAGGCGCAGGCGTGGTGCGGTGAATTCTGATTGGTCCGGCTGGAGTCCAGCTGACTTTGAAGGTCTGAGAGACCTCCATTTGAAGAGAGACCAGCAAGATTGTACGGATGATGAATGATAAACTCTCCCAACTCCCAACCCTTTCACTGCACAGAGTTGCCAGGATGCCTTGAAGCATCCCTGGTTTGATGATGGAGTGGACCTTCCTCCACTTCGAGTCTTCAAATCTACAGCCAACGCAGCCTCTGGCATCTCGCAGGTGGGGGCTTTGGGTTAAGGGCATGATCAAGTATGTCAGTTGTGGATGGTATGGTGTGAGGTTCATACGCAGATCTTGTCACGCGCGTCGAAACTTTCATTGCTAGACAGCGGAGACAATGCCCAAATTGAGCTAGACAGACCTTTAAAGTGATTGAATCCATTTATTTGACATATGTCATATCTACATTTTATGGAGCATGATGTTGCAGTGAATCAAGAATAGTCCCATGAACTGATGAACTGAATACGTTTTCTGCGACCTTTCTTCTCCATATCAACCCTTCGATGCGTTGAATGTTGAAGCGCATTGAGACGTTCACACACAGCAGGTTGATGATGAGGAAGTGACCGAGACACCAGAGACCCTGGACGGCGCCTTTGCAAGACTTCTGCAGTATTTTTTGTGCTTTCTTCTTGTTACTAATAGCTTCTTGTTACTACTAGTAAGGCACTTGTTACTAGTAGCGATGCACTTGTTACTAGTAGCTTCTTGTTTCTAATAGCTTGTCGACCCTTTTCGTTCTTCCCCACAATGAGCGAGTGGCATTTTCCGCATTTCTCCTAACCAGGTCAACTGAGCGACTGGAGTTGGAGTGAGGAGGCGGGCGAGTGGAGCGGTTTCAGATGAAAGATGTTCTTGTCATGTTGAGTATCTCAGGTGCTGGGGAGGTTGGGGAAAGGAGTTGGTTTGAACCTTTGAACCGGTGCCGCCAGTTTTGAATGATTGAAGCACGTTGAAGCTGCTCCAGCTTTGGTTTCATTATGTTTCATGGCTCCAAGATGCTGATTCAGGAGGATGCACCTGCTTTGGCCGTATGGGAAGATGAAGGCAGGTCATGTCTCAATACCAAACGAAGAGAGTTAGACTTAGACAACCAACAGGATTTCTGAGCAACCCAAGGTGGAAATCTTCATACATTCTTCAGGGTCTCCAAAAACTTCACCCCCAACCATAGGTATTTGAACCCCAAATTCAAGACTGGCCTAAGATGTGTTTGTCTTCAGTTGTCCATTCCTAAACCTTCCCTCTTGACGAGGTGAGGAAGCGGAAAACTCACTCGGTGGAGAATACACGGTGGCCTCGTCTTGTCCAGGCGCAAGCTGGTAAGGATGACCAACAAAAACTCCAGCTCACACAACGAGACCTGACCGTCATAAATCTGAAAAAAACGAGACCTGACGCGCCACATTTCATGACCAAACTGTAAAAAGAACACACAGCATAACGTAATTATCTTGTATTATGGACCCTGTTACACGCCATTCACTGGGAGGTGGTATGGCCAAACGGAGCAAGCAAGTCAAATGTGTTTTTCCAAATCAAATTGCAACGACCCAAATCCCGATGCCTCCCTCTGGCAATCTATGAGTCTATGCCGAATGGTTCGTTCGCCGATGGTGAAGCGCCTGAATTAAGAGCAAGGCCTGCATGCCCATGTGGCTTCCAGCGACGATGTCGGACGTCGCAAAGCCATGGAGGACTCCGTCAGTACTTCCTTCATCTCAGCTTTTATGGATTAAAATTTTTTGTGTGGAATGTAAATCTGGACAGGTGACGCAATCTTGTGAGTGTAGAGCTTCCGGTGGTAATTACAAAAGTAAGTTGCGTCAATGGTAGGTATTTGGAATTGCAAAAGCTTTTTGCTCTCATTTGCAGGACAGACACTCCATCCAGAACATCTCAGGATCTTGCCATGGTGGCAAGGCCATGTCGGGCACCAGACGTCCTGTGGATGAACAACAAGTCTGTACCCCGCAGAACGCATCATAAAACATATTAAAACATCATGTTATGCAAGGATTTAGATATGGATAGGCCCAATGGCAGGCGGTACAGTACAGGATTTCGTCCTTGAACAGTATGGCCATAGGGGCATGTGGGAGCCTTTGACTTGGAATTTGACGAGACATTTGTGGTTGCGCTATGTTGATAAGTGCCTTGATTATTGTCATGTTGTACTCTTTACGCTGCTGTGTGAGGAGAACAACAGTTCCTACGGACAAACCTGTTTGGAGTCTATGCTTGTATATGAATATGATCATATGATCATTATGATTCGGCCAGGCTGGGTACGTGGGCATTTTCGATGGCCATGGTGGAGATTGGACTGCCAGCTGGTTGGCACGATCGCTCCATCGACGCCTTCAACTGCGGGGGCCCAGGCGGCTAACGGGGCGGCCCGGTCAAGTGCGGTGCTTTCGGAAGTTCCAAGATTGACCAGTGGCAAAGCCATGCAAAGCCTGTTTCTTTTGCGCCATAGTACTCACAATCCTGATATAGAATGAAATAGAACGATATAATATATATATATATATGTGTGTGTATTCATATGTGCAATCGCAGGAGTGTGAGTTCTGCACTGGAAGCTGCCTTTGCCGCCTTTGACAAGGCAAGGAAGAAGGAACACACACACATACCAAAACTTGGGACAAGGACATGTTCACGGGCTCCTGGCCGTACTACTAGGAGTAAGGACGATTAAGGACGCTACTGGGGGCTCCTGGCCTTACTACTAGGAGCAAGGACGCTACTTACTTGGGACACCAAAAGGACATGTTCTTTTTCTCAGCCTTTCGATCTGGTTCGCACGTGGAGATTCTGAGCGGTTACAGGTTCCCTTGCCCTTTTCTAGTTCAATGCTTGCTAAAGCCTTGGTTATCGGTATGTTTTGGTGTCACCCTCCTGGATTATCCACAGCCTTACCACGTCATCATAGCCTTTCGCTGCTCTGTTAAGTTCACATTCCCCTCCGCTCACAAGGAGCAGCTGGAGTATCGAAACTCGGAAGAGCAGCTGGGCACGGGCAGCACTGCTCTAGTGGTACTGTGGCTGAGCTTGAGAGCAACATCTTGAACCATTTGGATCTTCACTTCATTTGTGGAAAAAAGTCCGTTGACAATGTGAAGAAGCCTTCTCCCATCTTCGTATTTGTCTTCCCCTATTTATGGCCTTATGCCTATGCCAACTCCCTTGTCCCTGCCCGAAGTCTTTTACCTGCAGAGTCCCTGAGGGCGTTTTGTGCAACTGCACTCTGCACCTGGCGAACTTGGGAGATTGCCGAGCAGTGGCGGCCTTGCGAGGCTCTGAGCACAACAAGTGTTGACCACCTCACCTCACCCGAGATTCCATGAAAAGTCCATAGAATGCACATGAATGCCTCACCATGGAAGGCACCCAGGAAGGAACCATGCAAGGAAACCAAGGAACCGCAATGATCCCCCGACTCCTCCACCTCGCCAGGGACCTGGCCGAGCAAAGGCCTGAGAGTTCGTGTGGGTCAACTGACACCAGCGAACTTGGAGGGATTGGTTAGTTGAAGAGAATCCTGTTGGAGTTGTCCAAGTTGGCATTATCCGAGTTTCTTGGACCTGAAGCCAGCATAAAAACAACAGATTCACAGCTTGGCCTGATGAAACGGCAGGTGAGACGACTTTGCCGGAGGCCATTCTGAAGGGTGCACAGTCATGCCTCATTATTAATTATTGGTATGCACAGTGGGCAGGCTTTAAGGCTGCAGCAAAGTGATTTGGGTGTGGCTCACAATGTCAGACTAAAAGTCGTCTTCACACTATGGCCTCGAGTCAGTCAAGGGTTTTAGAAAGCAAACCTCTAGCAAAAAGAAGAACGTGCAAATGCAATTCCTCCTGCAGGAGTCCATTTGGCCACCAGGTGCCAGAGTTGAGGCTGGTGACGACGGGAGACATCCACTGGACTCACTAGACGAGCAGAAGATGTCGTCGACTCCAAAAGGGGAGCGCAGTGATCACGCGATCACGAGAGCATGGCTGAGAGCCTCTAAGAGCTGTGATGATTCTTTGGTGGCAGTGGAAGGTGGATATCTAATTACTGCAAGTGTTAAACTATTGTTAAACTGCAAGTGTTCGGCTTGAATGCACAAATCTCTTGCCACTCCACACCCCTCCTGAGGTGTTGGATTCGCGATCAGATGAGCTGCGTGGACAGCGGGGCACTGTGGTCGAGGCCCCCCCCAGAATTATCCACACATTGCTTTTGTGCTTGAATGTCAGTCTTTGCCTTGGGCTAATAAAGTGAAGACTAGTTACGAGTTGTACCATTCTTAGCAAGTCCAAATTCCTCCATAGCACCCTGGCAGGTCCGCATCGCTTGCGCCTTAGCTCACCTTGTGCTGCCCCCCGCTTTGCATCCCCAGTGCACCACCAAAACGCCGCAGGCAGACTCTGGTCCCGGGCGCCCGCGCCGGGTCTTTTGCGTCGTGCGGTTGCTGCGAGATGGCACCTTGAGGCCTTTCCGTTCGCCCGGAACCTCGGAGCGTCCATGGGTGTTTGTATGAATCGAACGTTCCACATGGTCAGCTGAAGCTTGCTATATGAATTGGTATGTGTATATTGCATGTGATTACATACATGGCTTCACAAACTATCTCGAATCTGTTTGATGGGGCAACATCGGTGGATCGAATTCATTGGATTTCTTCGATGGTTCTTGGATGTTCTTGGAGAGACATGCTTGAAGGGCAACACTTGTGAGAAAGGCAGTCCCTGCGCATGCTGAGCGAGCTGCGGGCCGTACGTCTTACCAAGGCTCTGGCCCACATTGTGAAAGAACAATTTGTGAGTCGTGACATCATCATAGTTCATGATAGACGATTGCCATCTAGTTTCAAAAGCTAGCAGTTTTGCAAACTCTCATCGCACAGGATCACAAGCCCGGTTCGCCAGAGGAGAAGCGTCGCATCGAGGAGACGTGCCAAAATGGTTTATAGTTGGGTTGTGAGCAGATCATATTCTGATTGCAGAAGCAAGGCATGGGGGAGAGCTGTGTTAGGACAGAAACGGTCACCTTGAAAGGACGAAATGAGAATTTTCCTTGTGCAAGCAGACTGAGTAGACCACTGTGCAATGACAAGATGATATGGACAACATCACTTCGTTGTCCAACAGTCCATTCAGGGGTGTGGCAGACTTCTATTCGGCCGGCAGTCCAAACTGCAGGAGTTGGGAGGAGAGATCGTGTGGCTGAAGGCAGACCAGGCAAGCACATGTCGATTTGATTCAATTTGTATGACACCTCGGATGCTGAACTTGACCCCACTGAGCCACAATCTAGATATTTGACACTTGAACCTTGATTAAACAAATAAAATATGTCGTCTCCCCGTTTGAGAGAGCGAAAGAACATCTTCCCCCTCCTGAACGTTGAGTTTTTTCACTTTACATACTTTCCATAGTCATGTTTTGTTGTCCCATGTATGTCTTGCTCGTGTTTAATTTCATTTCATGTGACATAGTAAAGACGGTACAGATCACCACTTTGGCAGGGAAGCCTGGGGGATGCAACCCGCTCAGCACGGGTAGCTGGCTTGGCAACCTCAAGGACTGCCGACAGCACACCTTGAAGTAACCTGTGTTTGGGTTCTTAGTAGCGATGGCCTCCACCCTAGTAGTGATGGGTTCATAGTAGCAAGGGATATGGTTGAATAACTAGCATGCCGTACATCAGGACACAAAAGTTAAAGTTGAGCTGGGGCGCCGAAGTATCCAAGAAAGACAGAAACTACAGCGAAGCCATGGCGTCGCTGGCGCATTCGCAAGAAAAAGGAAGAGGAAGCGATGAGATGTTTGCCAGATGCAGATGATGCATGATGCAATCCACACTAAACCATTGGCATCGTTGCCTCCATGGCATCCTCTTAGGAGCTTCACAGGCATTGAGCGTCGACCGCTGGTCACTGCAGAACCTGAGCCAGTCACTCAGGGAGACCCGGGCGCAAAAAGAAATCAGTCATCATGAGCGTCGACCAATTTCCTGCAACCGGTTCCTTTACGGGAGGTTACTGTAAGCTTCTAGTAACAAGTGCCACGCTAGTAGTAACAGGTGCCTTACTAGTAGTAACAAGAAGCTACTAGTAACAAGTGCCTTACTAGTAGTAACAAGAAGCTGAGGGATGGATCCTGTTCAGTATATGTCTTGTACGACTCTCTTGTGAGCTTTGCAGAAGTGCATGACCCAAATCGCCACCGAGTCTTGCGGAAGCACCAGTAATTCACCGCTTGATTTGTGTTTTTTGAACATCGTGCCTTTAGACGATTCTACAGAATCCGTCCAGATGGAACAGACCGTCCTGGCACAAAGTGCAAGGTTTTGGTCGCTGCCCTTCAAACATTGTGCGGAACTAAGCTGAACACAGTACAGAAAGGCACCAAAGCGAGGCCTATATAGCAAGAAAACAATCGGATACGTACATTTGTCAGACAAGATCAGCGTGCTGAGACATTGAGCTCCAAGGTTGGCAGGTGGCTGTTTGTAGATTATATGTTCGACCAACTTTATACTGTCGTGAGGGAACTTGCTTCCGAACGAAGCTCTATTTGTGCCCATGTGGGCAGTGAAAAGAGTGAGAAGCTTGTCCCTACTAGGTTCTGAGGGCGCGGACTGCAGAGAGGCCGTCAGAGTGAAGAGATGCTCCTCTCAACTGCACAGCCTTGGAAGAGGGCAACCAGCATGTCACCAGACCAGATCAGCAAAAGAGGACTTCATGAAAGCCCTTTGTACCAACAGGTTTTAGCAGAGAAGAATCGTGCTTTATAATGATGCACCTGAGAGGAGTGCACACAGGATTTTGTCGGTAAAGAGGCTTAGCAGATGCGAACATTAATGATTTGGTGGGAAAAAAACATTCGACACATAGTAACATACACTGATAAACATCGCCTGCGATGAATTGTTCTATTCGTCACTTGCTCTTGGGAAGGGATGGGAAGGGCAATACTCTTGAAAGCTTGTGAATGTCAGAGTGAATCATGGTGCCAGCCGCCACAGCATTACCAATTGAACCCCAGCTTGGTCGATAGACAGACTATTCAGCTGAGTAGATTGGCCCATCCACAGCCATCCTGTGCGCATGTTTGGTGCAGGGAGAAGACTTGCCACGGCCTTGGACCGATTGAGATGAGCTTGGTCCGTTGGCTCAAGTTCTATTTAGAAACGATAGGATTGGAATGTATGCAGGCGTGCACATGGCTTCTCTGTGATACCATGGAAAAAGCAATACTGCAAGACCTCTTGATGAAAAAGTGTTTGCACTGCTCTAAATTTATGAGCCCACCAACCACTTCTTGGCAAGGACCGGCAGCGCGCCCCTCTTTGTTGTTTTAGCTAGTGCCAGAGCCTTGATGAGTGCGGGTAGTTGAAAGCACATGCCATTTGCCTGGGTCAAATGAATTGGATTCAATTGCAGTGAATAAACAGCGGTCTCAGCATGTTTTCTTCAAAGAGAATCAGAAATACATATGGGCACGCTGTAGGGACTTCTCTATTCTGGGCGTCTAGCATGAAAGATCCATAGGGTTGACCACCTGGACGTTCTGAGGATGGTATATGGGATGTGCTCGAGGACCAACTTGCTGTGGATCTGGTCTGGGACCTTTTGAGCTCCGCGCAGGACAGGTTGAGATGTGACGCCCATCGGTCTGTGGGGTTAGCTCCAGTCACACGTTGAAAATCATACGGGACAGACATGGACGGTGTATGTCCCTGTGCTTGAGATGGAAGTTTCCTATGGATCTACCACTATATATATATATATTACTATCAAGATGGACAGATGTGATCCGGCTGTAGAACTTGACATGTGATCTACCTGTCAGGATCCACGACGCGGCATGGCAGGCGTGTTGCAAGAAGCAGCGCAGCTTGTCATCCAGGCAGAGATACGATCATGTTTTCGGGCAAATTGGGGATTGACATCGTGGCAGGCTGCCAAAGATCGCGGCTCCACTGATAATTTGACATGTATCATTTTATTGATATTCTGAAATATTATACAGACAATATAGTAAAGAAACTTGATGTTATTGATTATATGAAGTAGGTTTGTATTTTTTTAAGGTGTCCAGTTTGTGTAGGGCTGGGATGTTCGAGTTTGGCGAAGCATATCCCGAAGCATACGCTCTGAAAACGCTGCTAGTATCGTGGTAGTTTGTCGTAGTAGTATTATAGTATCGTAGTTTGACGTAGTAGTATTGTAGTAGTTTGTCGTGGTAGTATGTTATAGTGGTATTGTAGTAGTATGTTATGAGAGTGGGCAATTGTGGCAATACACTTTTTTGGGCCATTTCCTATAACAAATTGTTTATTTAAACATTATCCCAACATAGACCCCAAACAGTTTCAAAACGATTCGTTTGGACCAATGTTAGTTTAAACCGATTTCTTGGTACGCCCAACCTTCCCCCCCAAGAATTTGTTCGGCCACACTCCTCTTTAGTTGTTGAGCATGTTAATGAAAAAAATTGAGAATGTAATATAGAATGTCCAATGCGTCTCATAGGCACATTATCTGGAGCCTTATCTATCAATAGTATGAGACGGGTTCCCCCCGAACCCGCTTCTTTCGCGGGCGTCCGATTCGGCCATAGAGCTTGGGGGCGCGGCTAGTTAGTGTGGCTAGGGCTGGTCATCGCGGCCAGAGGACAATAATAGGAATAATAGGATAAAAGGAGTACAAGATCCGGGCAGTGACCAAGCAAGGATAAAAGGAGGATAAGGCCCCGGATATAGAGCCTCGCTATAGAACCTAATCATAGAGTTTAGGGGCGCGGACAGTGAGTGTGGTTAGCTATTACAATTAAAAATATCTATATAAATTTATAATTTTATATATTTATACATTATTTAAAGAATTTTGGAATTATTAATAATTTTTGGTTTTTTATTTATATTTGATGCGATTTTATTTTTATTATATTTTATTAAATTGATATTTATATATAATTTAATTGTTTTTTGAATCTTGGAAATTTAATATATAATATATTTAAATTTATAAATAAATATATTTATTATAAATTAATTCTAAATTAATGATTAAATTATATTTAGAATGTAAAAAAATATAAATATTTGATATTTGGAATGAATTTATTAATATTATTATATAACAATATGTTTATATATATATTCTAATTATTTAATTATTATATAAATATATTGAAATATATATTATTTTAATATTTTGAATAAATAATATTTATAATATTTTTTAATTAATTAATATTTATATAAAATATATATAATATATTTTAAGTAATTTATAGAATATTAATTTAATTTGAATATGTATTCAGCATTTGATATTTGATTGATTTTTTTTTTTATATAGTTGTGTTTTTTTATTTAATTCGATTTTAGATTGGATATTTTTTTAAAATAGGATTTGGTGCGGAGGTTGTTTATTTGTTTTGTTGGATATTATTGGATTGAAATCCTATTTAATCGTATTTACGTCGCGATAGATTTACATATTTATATATTATAAATTATCTATTTACTCCTTTTTTAGGTTTTTTTTTTTCGTAATAGACGGATTATTTATGCTAAAAATACTATCTTGAATGCCATCTTGGTGTTAGGCCCTCTTAAATCATACCTATGGAAATCCATGGGGGGAATCCAATATAAGATATGTCCGACGATAAAAAAATATTTTAATAATATAATTTAAGATTTAATATATATTATTCCTTTATAGACCCATATGGCAAAAGAATGCAAAAGATTTTTCTGGGTTGTAGCTTGTATTGGCAGCAACTCTAATTTTACATACAATATTGGCGTGTTTCCACTACGCGTACAGCTAACACCCGGCACCAGCGCCCAATCTCCACCACGTATATAACGAACACCACTAGCACCGGCGCCCGGCGCCAACACCAATCCACTACCACGTGCACAGCCAGCTCACAGCACCGGCACCAGCACCAC